ATGAAAAATGTTTATAATCATGAAATGAAAGCTTATTTGCAATGCTGAAAGAGCGTTTTCAGTGTGTTACAAGATCCAGATACAGCATGTCATGTTAGAGCTTCAATGCACTGCCTTCTTAGATTAAAGCTTCAATGAGCACTAATGTGTAAAAAAGCAAATGAAGAGAATGCAAGCCCAAATTTGCGAAAAAGGTAGTTTCTCACCGAGCGAAAGTTGGTTTTAGCAATATTAAGAGTAAATCTTGCCCTTATGAAAAATGTTTATAATCATGAAATGAAAGCTTATTTGCAATGCTGAAAGAGCGTTTTCAGTGTGTTACAAGATCCAGATACAGCATGTCATGTTAGAGCTTTAATGCACAGCCTGCTTAATTTAGAGCTTCTAGGAACACTAACACTTAGTGTAAAAAAGCAAATGAAGAGAATGCAAGCCCAAATTTGCGAAAAAGGTAGTTTCTCACCGAGCGAAAGTTGGTTTGCAATGCAGACAGAGCCTTTTCAGTGTGTTACAAGTTCCAGACAATGTAAGTCATGTTAGAGCTTTAATGCACAGCCTGCTTAATTTAGAGCTTCTAGGAACACTAATGCACTGTTAGTGTAAAAAAGCAAATGAAGAGAATGCAAGCCCAAATTTGCGAAAAAGGTAGTTTCTCATTGAGCGAAAGTTGGTTTTAGCAATATTAAGAGTAAATCTTGCCTTATGAAAGATGTTTCTAACTCATGAAATGAAAGCTTATTTGCAATGCAGACAGAGCCTTTTCAGTGTGTTACAAGTTCCAGACAATGTAAGTCATGTTAGAGCTTCAATATACTGCCTGCTTAGATTAATGCTTCAATGCGCACTAATGTGTAAAAAAGAAAATGAACAGAATGCAAGCCCATCTTTGCGAAAAGGGTAGTTTCTCAATGAGTAAAAGTTGGTTCACGCAATATTAAGAGTAAATCTTGCCCTTATGAAAAATGTTTCTAAAGCCTGAAATAAAAGCTTATTTGCAATGCAGAAAGAACCTTTTCAGTGTGTTACAAGTTCCAGAAAAAGCAAGTCATATTACAGCTTAAATTCACATCCTGCTTAGTTTAGAGCTTCAATGAGCACTGATGCTTTGTTAGTATTTTTGAGCAAATGAAGAGAAAGCAAGCCAATATATGCTGCATAGCTTCTTTCCCAGTGAGAGAAATTTGGTATATGCAATGTTAAGAGCAACGCTTTTCCAGATTAAGGATGCCTCTTACGCATGAAATGAAATGTTATTTGCAATGCAGAAAGACAGATTTGAATGTGTTAGAACTTTTTTGCCCTGTAAATGATCTTAGAGCTTCAATGCAAATACTTACCACTATAGAGCTTCTAGGAACACTAATGCTCTGTTAGTGTAAAAAAGCAAATGAAGAGAATGCAAGCCCAAATGTGCGAAAAAGGCAGTTTCTCAGTGAGAGAAAGTTGGTTTATGCAGTATTAAGAGAAAATCTTGCCCTTATGAACAATGTTTCTAACTCACGAAATGAAAGCTTATTTGCAATGCAGAAAGAGCCTTTTCAGTGTGTTTCAAGTTCCAGAGAAAGCAAGTCATGTCAGAGCTTTAATGCACAGGAACACTAATGCACTGTTAATGTAAAAAAGCAAATGAAGAGAATGCAAGCCCAAATGTGCCAAAAAGGTACCTTCTCAGTGAGAGAAACTTGGTTTATGTTTAGTAAATCTTGCCCTTATGAAAAATGTATATAACTCATGAAATGAAAGCTTATTTGCAATTCAGAAAGAGCCTTTTCAGTGTGTTTCAAGATCCAGTGTCAGCAAGTCATGTTAGAGCTTCAATAAACAGCCTGTTTAATTCAGATTTTCTATGAGCACTAATGCTGCGGTAGTGTTTCTGAGCAAATGAAGAGAAAGCAAGCCCACTTATGCTGCAAAGCTTTTTCCCAGTGAGAGAAAGTTGGTTTATGCTATGTTAAGAGTAAAGCTTGCCCACATGAAGGATGTTTCTTGCATACGAAATGAAATTTAATTTGCAATAAAGACAGACTTACTTTAATGTGTTAGAGCTTTTATGCCCTCCATGTTATGTTATAGCTTCAATGCACATAACTACCATTTTAGAGCTTCTAGGAACACAAATGCTCTGTTAGTTAAAAAGCAAATGAAGAGTATGCAAGCCCAAATGTGCGAAGATGGTTGTTTCTCAGTGAGAGAAAGTTGGTTTATGCAATATTAAGAGTAAAGCTTTTCCACATGAAGGATGTTTCTTACTGATGAAAGGAAATGTTATTTGCAATGCAGAAAGACAGATTTTAGTGTGTTAGAACTTTTATGCCCTGCAAATTATGTTAGAGCTTCAATGCAAATACTTACCAGTTTAGAGTTTCTAGGAACACTAATGCTCTGTTAGCGTAAAAAAGCAAATGAAGAGAATGCAAGCCCAAATGTGCGAAAAAGGTACTTTCTCAGTGAGAGAAAGTTAGTTTATGCAATATTAAGAGTAAATCTTGCCCTTATGAAAAATGTTTCTAACTCATGAAATGAAAGCTTATGTGCAATACAGAAAGAGCCTTTTCAGTGTGTTACAAGATCCAGACACAGCAAGTCATGTTAGAGCATCAATGCACCCTGCTTATTTTAGAGCTTCAATGAACACTAATTCTGTTTTAGTGTTTCTGAGCAAATGAAGAGAAATCAAGCCCACATATGCTGCATAGCTTCTTTCCTATGGAAGCATATAGGTAGCGAAATTCAATTTAAAATACAATATGCAAAATGGCAATGCAATATTCAAAATGGCAATTTAATTCTGTATTTAAATTTCCTTTTTCCATTACCCGTACGTGCAAAGTTTGTTGCAAAAGGAAAATGAAAATGAAATTATATAATTTACATTTGCCATTTCCAACAGTAATCTTAATAAATTGTATGCAAATTTGAACACTTTATAAGTTCGGAAATTAAAATAAAAATGTATAACACAAATTGATTTGATATGTGTAACATGTTCAAGCAGAAATGTTAGCAAAATTATCATTTAAATGCTATATGTCCTAAATGCATTTAGACTAACAGTTAGAACACTTAGGATTGCATTTTCATCATGACGCCATCGGATTTTTGTAGCAAAATTCAATTTGAAAATGCATTCCGAACTGACCACGCCCACCCTCCGTCAATCATTGCTTCAAGGCAGGGATTGGCGGAAGCGTTTTACGTTTGGATCGTTTGAAACATGGCGGCTGGAGATCTGATTAGATTGTTGAATTAACTGGCAGATGAAGTGGAGCGTGAACAGAGAAATTTATGAAGCGTAGTCCATGCTAAAATCAAACGTTCGAACGACTGACCGATCAAACGTCTAACCGTCGCAATAGTATCCAGCTGCAGACCCGCAGCACCAGCAATTTCAGAACCGCAGCCACAGAACCGGAAGTGAGGGGCGGAGCTTAATTTTTTTTAAACATAGTAGCGCCACCTTACGGTTTTTAAGGGCTAATTTGCTTTTATTACACACGATACGTCATACTTTATGCATGTATGCATTTTATAATGACATATTAAGCATTTTATAAACATTAATCTTGTGTAATTTAGTTGTAGACCTATACAGTTATTAGTTTCATTGTATTATGCAAGTTATTTCCTGTTTGTGATATTAAAAATAATGTTGGAAACTTCTGGGCATTTTATATGAAATATACTTTAAATCACAAGATTCAAAATAAATGTTTACTCCAAAGTCACATGCATCATAAATTTTTCTATATGAAAACTAAAACATTTCAATAAAACACACACACACACACACACAAACAAACAGCAACATACTTTTAAAAGTAACAATCAAAATGTACACAATTATCTCTGGAAACTTCTGTTCCAAGAGATTGTTGAGGGCCTTTTCCTTGTCCTCTTCCTCCATTATAAGGAAAAGAGGCTCTTCCACTGGCCCCCTGAGCAGATGTCTGTTTAATGGAGCCATTTCACAACTTCTGTGAGATTACTGGGATCTCCTTCATTACAGAATATTAAAGGAAAATGTAACTTTAATATTTCTTATTAATGTGTGTATATAGATAGATAGATAGATAGATAGATAGATAGATTTGAGACATACCTCACAAGCGTAGCCTGTTATCCAATTGGAAGGGCCTCTTGTAGGGTTTCTGCACTGTAATATACATGTATCTTGGTTAATTTCAAATTGGTCAGAAGGGGGTGCAAAGGTAATGGTGTGCTGGAGGTAATGTCCAGTACCTTTCAGAGAAAACCATCTGGAGTCCACCATCTCCGTATGATTGGAATGTCACACTGGAAGACACACATAGAGAAATCTTTAAATATCAACTGCTACAACATCATAAAGGTCAATTACTTTAACTGATAACTGCTTCCAGATGTAAAATCAAAGGGTGCTCCCAAGACAAGATGTACTGGAAAACAAAAAAAAAATAAGAATGTTCTTCCTGTAAATAGCACAAAAAAAACCTTCCTTGTTCCTTATTTAA